TTCCACTTGACATGCTCACCCATGTTGCTTAGTCGTGCAATCATTTGTTGGGAGGAATGGTTTTTAGCCCTCGCTGTTGCTAACTCACTAGAGTTGTGCGAATATTCATGTTTTCAGTCGCCGCTTTCGCGCCACACCCGCTACATTTCTTTTGTTCTCAGATAGCACCACTCAGAGTGTACCCGGGTGCTGACGATTTGTACGTTTCACTGAAGTTGGTGGTTGTCGGCTGTGCTGTGTCGCTCTGTGTGCAAAGCAGGGGAGCACCTAGCAGAACAATTGTTTAAATTGTTTGGCCTTTGTCCTTATGACAACATGAAGATGTCAAACATTGACGTCTCAGCATCATTCGGGATTTGTGAGTTTGTAAAGAACCAACCGTCAACCCCAGGTTTTGTGTCGCGCCTGCAGAGACTCCCAAAGACAAGTTTAAAGAACCAGTCAACCCCAGGTTTTTGCGAGGCGCGGCAAAACAAAAAGGGGCCACGTCTTTTTCGCGTAGCGCCGTAGCGCGAGGTGGGCTTTGACACCTCCACCGGGTCCGTGGTGCTGGACTCGGCGCGGTGCGGCGCCCCCGCCTGCCTGCGGCACCGGCGCTACGCGCCGGGGAAAGCCGCCCAGGAGCTGAACCGCCGCGGAGGAGAGGCCACGAAGCTGTTGGAGGGGGTGAATCCATTTTTTTAAATTTTTTCTCTGGGGTTGCGAAGGGAAAGAGGAAGCCACTGTGCCTCCTTTGTTCCTCATTTGGAGTTGTTTTTGTTGAGGGTTTGAGAGACAAAGAGGACAGCCGCTTGGGTTGCTTTATTTTGGCGGGATGGGGTGGGGGACATGGTTTTGCTACGGTCGGGGTATGGTCGGGGTATGGTCGCGTGATTCGGTTTGCCGAAAGTGTGCAGGGGGCACAAGGGAGGCCTAGAGACAGGGCAAGTGGTGGCCCGGATACAGCCTCAGGAGTCGTCCCGAGCGGTGAGCAGGCCACCCTCGTTGTGGATCACAACGAGGACGGCTGCTGGGCCATCCATTTTTCTGGACCAATCAACCTCCATGATGAAACACGTGCCGTTCAGGAACGGACGGCAGGAACGGCCTCGGTAGGTGAGGTGTGGTGTTCAACACGGTTCAAAGCAAATTGCAGCCGTCGAATTGGTTTGTCGAGTCAGTGATGTGTTGAGCAAATGGATTTGCAGCCAGTGATTGCAGCTCTTGTGCCCATTCGCCCCTTGCTGGTCAGGAGACCCATGCCAGTGGGAGCGTTAGCGGCGGCATGATCCGGGACCAAGTCTGCTTAGGGGAAGGCACTACGGGGGGAGGCAGAAGTGCACTGTCCGAACAACCTTCAACTCACACATTACCCAATAGAGACGGTGGCTTAGGTGGTTGCTCGTTTTGCGGCGTCATGCATTTACATGAGCAGGGGAGTATCCTCGGACAGCTTTCAACTGACATTTTTCCATACCAACGAGGACATCCTACCGACGCTTGTGAAATGATGCCACCAGCAGCGTGTGCCCGCAGAAATAGCCAGCTCTCTTTATTTGCGACATTCATGAAGTTTTTCCACAGGCGGCTGCCTTTTTTTTGCCAGGAGATGTTAGCCGCGTCTGCGCGGACATCGGGATGCTGGCAGCCAACGACATGAGCAACGACCCTTTCATGGAGTTGCCGGTGGATGGCATCGTTGGCCTCAGCATGGAAGGGCTGTGCCCTTGGCTGCAGCGGGCAAGGTCGGTGAGCTAGTGTGCCTCCAGCCAGCGTGGCCGCCATCACAAGGATGTGCTGCTGCTGCTGCTGCTGCCGCTGTTGCCCTCCCTTGAGAACAGCTGGGTATGAATTCTAGGTGGGGACCCTTTGATGGGCATCATTTGCATGGGGATTTATGTGCACCAGCCATGTTTTGGGACGTTGACGAAAACTCATAGCCAGCTCACCGAGGTCCATCTCTGGCGCCTTCAACTTCCTCCGCGGTTTGCAGGGCGCCGGCCTTGCTCCGGTCTTCGGGCTGTTCCTCCCCCCTGCCGGCGCGGCAGGGCCAGGGGAGGTGGCATTCGGCGGCGCCTCGAATGGTCAAATAGCTGGTCAAAACAAACGGCTGATTTTTTAAATCCCATGAACCTATATGGATTTGGTCCCTTTCAAGATACGTCGCTTGGAGCTGACGTCGAGCGATGGATGCGTCGCTTGAGGCTACAATCCGCGCCTGGCCTCGAACTTGTCGTGGGTCCCAGCGGAGGAGCCCTCCAAGGGATTTTGGCAGGCAGGACTCGGCGGGTCGGCGCGGGTGTTTGTTGCACCAATTTGCAAGCCGAGTTCGGGAGACCCACTCAGCGCACTGTCTCGACGTAAATTTCCGGGCTGCAGCTCATACTTCGTGTGTACTGCAAAGTTGGGATTTTGGAGATCGAGCTGCCAGAGTTCCTTCGCAACATTTGTGTGGACAAGCAAAATTGTCATCTTCAGACATTTGACGTGCAGCTTTCGGAGCTGCCGCGTGCCTTGCATACTGCACGGAGGCCCAAAACATGGCCACAGCGCACCTAGGCTCCGCGTAAGCGCCTTCCGCGGCTCGGGCTCGACCTCTGCGTTCGGCACAAGAGTCGGGGATAGCCTTGCACCTTGGTGCTGTGCCAGTACCCCCCGGAAAAACCAACCAAAACCACTCAATTTGATTCTTTGAAGCTGTTGGAATGACAAGACGGGTGCACTAGCTGGCCTCGAAAGCGCACATTGCTTGCCACCGCGGGAATTTCTAAACGCGAGCCCCTGCATAGAGCCGAGTACGAAATCTATTCGCAATGGCACGTTTGCGGCGCCTAGTCTCGCTTTGGGAATTAAGTGTAGGAAACCCACCCAGGGTGGAACCACGAGTTCACTCGGTGACATCCATCAACACTGTTTGGCGTGTTTCTTCCATGTGACATTTGTTCCGTTGCTCTGTGCTCAATGCAGGTGGAACAATATTCGCCAATCTGCCATTTGAAGTTGGAAGGCAATGGCTTGTGCCAAGACCCAATGCAGTCACCTCAAAACTTCTGACCCATACTCAGAGGGTACGAGGCACGCAGAGGTGAACCAGGTCCCAATAACTTTTGACCATGGCCCATGCAGCTCCTAGCTTTCTCATGTTGGCCTCACGTGCAGGTGCGGCTGCAGGGGATTTACGTGGGCGGCGAGCCTTTGGATTTCTGCCGGAAGGGCTGCCGTGCCATTGTTGACAGCAGCTCCTCCCACCTCACCGTGCCCAGCGAGGCCGGAGGTGGGACGAGAGGCTGATATGGCGGGACTAGTGACTAGGCTCGTGTCGTGTGCGATGCTGAGCGATTGCCGGATCTCATTTGACGGGGCGCAGCTCTGGCACTAAAGCTTTTCCATGCCCAAAGCAGGCAAGCCTGCGAGAGCATCCTCCAGTTTTCAGCAGTGGTGGTCTCATGCCTCCCAAATCGGTGGAACCTGTGGCCTAGTTGCTTTGGTTGGAACATCACTTTTTCAAGACGTGCCTTGCCTTCAGGGCTGGCTTTTGCACTTGGTTCCCTCTCCCGCTTCCCCCTTCGATGTTGCCTGCATCATTGGGTTTGGCGCAGCAAGGCATGACGGATGATCCTGCCAGTGCACGCTCAATCTTCAGACAACATGTTGCTTTGTGATCCACCCCATTTAACTCCACTCTCTTCTTTAAGAGGGCGGGTTCTTGGACACTGGTGCCGCCTTGGCACCAGGCGGGCCACCGGTCTGCTTTCGGTTTTGCTCGCAGTTGGCGCTTGGACATCCAGCTTTCGTAAAAACCACTATGCCCTCTCTCAGGGGTACACCATGGTAGATGTTGAAAGATGTTGAACGCAAGTCACCTTCAAACACATTGCGTGCTTCTGTCTTGTTACTGGATTTGCAGGTTGGTGGCTTTGCGTGTCGCCAAAGAACAAGAGGAGGCATGGAGTAAATCGCCTCTCAGGTTATGCCCCTGATGCACGAGAAGTTGGCGGTGGTTGCTCCCAAGGGATGGCTCTCCGAGCGCCTTGCAGCAGTTTCGTTGGCGGGCGTGGCTTGCGCATCCCCGGGTGGCTCCCAATTTGGATGCGGTCTCCTTGGCCGTTTCCGCCGAATGGATAAAAACGGCGACCGCGCCCAGGCGCCGGCTCTGCGAGCAGGCGCGGGGCGCTCCCCTGACCTTTGCCCTGGGCGAGGCGAACCTCACCTTGGAAGCCAAGGAGATGTCAGCAGTCGTTGCTGTCTTTTGGGGTGGCAAGGGGGTGGAGGTGGTAGCTCTGGAAGAAAGGGTGGGCAAACTCTGCAAGGTTTGGTGGAGGGAATCAAGACCATGATCCATGTCGAGAGATGTTAGCGTTTCACGTGTAGGCTTGTCTTCAACTCCGACCAAGCCCTTCCAGAGGGCGTTGTCGTCACTTTACCACCCAACTTTAGACGAGACCCTAAATTTTACAAGGCACCCAGCTATGCAGGGGCAAGCCAGATGACGTGGTAGCTTGGGTGAGGTTTGTTTCGTGCATGCTTTGATAGTCATGACCCGTGTGGAAACCATAGCCGCGGCGACAGTGACGACGCTTGCCAAATTCTCAAAGATTGAAGACATCCAGACAGATCCAGAACATGCGCCACTTGTGGGTACAACAAGCCCATTTCCACACAGAGTCATTAAGCACCAAGATCTTAGGGCGCCGAAACGGCCGAGGTTGGTTTCTGGATCTGTCTCGATTTGGTGGAAACGGCCAGGACTATGTGGCCGCGGAGGGCAAGGAGTGTGTGGCGCAGCTGCACCCCTGGGACCTGCAGGAGCGCCAGACCGCTGCAACCCGTGACTTGGGCCGCAGGTGCGGGGAGTGGGGGGTCGGAGCGCCTGTCAGGCGGGAGATTGCGGGGAGGGGAGGTGACGAGGTGAGCTGGGGAGCTGGGGAGCTGGGGAGGGGGGGCAGTGGCTTGGTGCAGAAATATTTGGGCAGAATGATGGATTTGGCAAGTCAGGGATTTGGGTCAGTCAAGCACGGGTCGCTGAAGTCGCCGGGCGAAGCACCGAGACCCAAGCTGTGACTTGAAACAGTCCCTTACAGCCGCTTTGTCAGCTGAGGAACGGAAGAGGGTGTGACGGTGGCAGCCGGCGTTGATTTGCACACCATCATCCTGGGTGAGCCTTTGCTGCGAAGCTCGGCTTTGATGGGCCTGGAGCTTGCTAGAAGGGTGGCATCACGAAACTGGGAGACTTTGTAGCTTTTGGCAGGTGGGCAAAAGCCTGCGCGAAACAGGCGGGTTTTTGTTCAACGATGGAGTGGAGCAAGCCAGTGGATCCAAACACCTTTTTTCGTTTTCAACCCTTTCGAATCAGAACTCAGAATCAATAATTACCTGCCAGCAAGTGATTGCACAGAGTTTCAGGGGTGAGCAGCACACTTCATGCGTTTTCCACCCACCTCCCCCCCCCACCACCTCACCCCACCCCCCCTCCCCCCACCACCTCACCCCACCCCCCCCCCACCACCTCACCCCCGCCGGAGACCCCCGGACGTCGGATTCGGATTCGGAGGCAAGTACTACACCGCCTTCGACGCCTCGAAGCTTCGGGTGGGCTTCGGCTTGGCCCGGGAGGACCTGGAGGACTCCTTTCGCCGTTCCGGACATTGCCATGAGTTTTAATGGGGAACCTCAATAGGGATGGGACATGAATCCCCACCTAAATGATGTATGATATTCCAAAAAAAGCTCTAATCCCTGACTGACACACTTAAATATTTGTCGAGTTGGAGGGAGGGAGCTTTTGGGGGATTGTCTTTTGGGGGCAAACAATGATTGCCTTGCAAATCAAAGCGCTAAACTTTGAGGTGCAATGGGTTTGTCACATTCGGCGCCCGCTTGCGGCTGGTTTCCTTCGCAATGCAAGCGAGGGGAGTTGCCACTTTGAGAAACGTGAACGTGTCTCACCAGTGACTGGTGCTTAGAACCTTCTACCAACCAGCCCTTGAAAGACAGGTTTTGCACCGCAACACAATTCGGCTCGTTCGAGATTCCCCGATCGGTTTGAAAGGAAGGCTGAGCCGCTTCCTGGCAGTGTGATGTGTCGATGTGTGTCATCTCTCAGGCAGTCATGCCATCACCCAACCCTAAGACCAGCGCAAGGACCAGATCATTCTCATGCAAAACTCAAGGCCGAGACCATCGACGACGCAAGCTGCTTGGCATTGTACCGGAAAGAGGTGAATCTAAAGCATTCCCACCCCCTTAAAAATGGAATTGGGGGACCCCCCACCCCTTTCCACCTTAAGGTGGGGGGAATTCTAAACCGAGCCAAGTCCTAGCGTGCAAGAGCGTGCGTTCTGCATAGAGCCGCGCCCTCGTGTCACGGCGAGCCCATTGAACTTGGACACCCCTCGAGTTTGTGCGAGTGATTTGAGACATACTGTGGATGGACGAATTCCTGCACCACCTCAGAGGAAGGATGATTCCCCTGTAAATACCAAGAAACAATGGTTTTACTGGTTGCCAAGAGGTGCAGGATTTTGCCCATCCACAGTAGGAAGCAGCCGCTCGGCCTCAGGAACTCTGATTCTGAGCACTCCGTCTCTTTGGCCCGCGAAGAGAAGCGGAACTCAGAGCGAGCAGTTGAAAAGCTGTGCTATCCTTTGGACTCCGGCCATGTTCAAAGGGTTTTAGACCAGGGTTGTGGGATCAAGGGGTTTATCCCCACTTCTGTACAAGGGAATCCATTTCCCACAGCCCTGGACCAGGACATACGGATCCCAGTGTGGGGGGATCATGCCCCATGCATTCCTAGCTTTGACCGGTGTTGCAATAAGAAAGATCCCGTTCTGGATGGTGAAAAAAGGGGGGATATCCAAGGGGGAACCGTTTCTGAAGCCGAGATCAGGAGAGGTCGGATGGTACAGAAATCTCGGAAATTCAAGGAAAACCAGCCCAATGCCGATAGGTGTCCTTTTTGTTTCTTTTGCTCGAAAGTTTTATTGGCCCCAGCTAAACCTGGTGGTGAAATCACCTGCCAGGGCCCAGGAAAAGAGATGGCGATTCCTGGTTTACCTGGTGGTTGAATCATCTACCAAAAAAAACCCATCGATTTCCCCAAGGACACCTATGCCAACTAGCTCCCTGAGGTGGTCCGGCTCTGGCGGGGCAGCGGCCTCCCGGAGACCGCGGCCCGCGGCTTCTGCCGCACCGCGCTGAAGAGGCCGGACACCCGGTCCAGTCGACGCGAGGGGCCAAGGTGGCCAGGGTTCAATTTGCTTGGTGGTTCCCAGCCATACCCTTGCTTGTTGGCCTTTTAGTGTTTAGTGGGGATTTCCATTTAACCCACTAAAAGTTAAACTTTTAGCGGGGGATCTGAGGACAGCCCAGTTTGGGGGTGGATCAACATTCCATTTAGGGCCCCCAAATGACCATGCGTAACTTTATGTAGCTTTTCCAAGCTGCTTTCTCCAATGGACCTTTTTGATCAACCCCCTCTTCCAGATTGGCCAACGTTTTGGTATGTCGCACTATTTGCGGAGTCCGAGCTTGCTTGCATGCTTCGAGCTTGTCGCACATATGCGCGTGGTGCTGCTTTTGATGGGCCACTCTTGGGCTGGTTCAGCATCAGCAGTTGCTCAATGCGAGAGGACTTAACTGAAGAGCGGGCTGCAAGAGTCGTGAAAGGGAGAAACCGGTTCCTGGACCTGATGAACACTTGCGCTTGCTGCCGCTGGTTTGAGCGTCCATCAAGAAAGGTACTGCTTCACTGCTTCGCTGACTCGCTCTCTTTTTTTTGCCAAGAGCCGCAGCCACCCTGGACGGTACAGGGCCTTACCCCAGAAGCGAGCTCCAGGAGCCTCTATTGGCTGTTTCAGTTGATGGTGCCCCATGATTCGGGGGATATATTCAACAAAGGCAACTTGAGGGGCTCGCTTTTCGAGTTTGGAGCCAAACTCGACGCTTTGGCGACGAGCCCAGCGCTACCCAGCTGGGACCCAGGCTCCAGCCCTTCCTGCAAGCAGGGAACCTCAGACAGTGGGCACATGGGCCAGCCGAGTAGTCATGTTATGTGCTCAGGTGTAAGCCTTTCGATGCTTGGAACATGTCAGTCACACTGCTTGAAGACGAAGCATTGAGGACCTAGCCGCAAAGCATCTGATTGCACGGCGCCCGCATTGCAGCAAACATGTTGAGCACGCTTTTTGGTTTTGACAGCCCCCAACTTTGCCGGCAAATGGACAATGCACCCTTCGGGGTAGGTTCAAACTCCTCCGGGTTCCTGCAAACTGTTTGCTTCACATTTGCTTTGGTGCAACTCAAGTGCAATTTCGTGATCGATTCACGACTTTGGGCGCCACAGTTGCCAAGCTCGACGTGAGGCAAGCCCCGCTTCGAGCATGCAAGCAGTCGGGGAGGCTGGGCGTGAGAGTCGATGGCGCGTTTGCGCCGCGAGAGCCGCGGTGTGAACAAAGGGAACTCCCAGCACTGATCGCAAGCTTCACGCTCTAAGCTGCAGCACCTCGAGCTTCCAGACGTTCCGAGCCGACTTGGCACTCACGGGCACTCACGGCTAGGCTCTGAGGAGCTGCAAGGAGCCGGTGCCGTGGTCCTCCTTGGCGCTCACTGCCCCAGGCAAGCGGGACCAGCGCCGGAGCTGACTCGGCGAACCGAACGGGCCCCTTCAATTTTTGACGAGCTGACTTTCAGGATGAAGTGGGATGGCCAGAGCCCCTAGCCAGCGGTTCAGACGTTCGAACTTCTCTGATCCAAGCGTGCGGAGGTGACAGTCTGTGTGGTTTGCTCATTCGTGCGACTCGACCCTTGGTCACGCCAACTTGGCAAACTCAGCGCTTTTAGTGGCTTCGAAAGCAGCCTCCAATGAATGCCATCCACCTCTTTGTTTCACGACGGACAGACAAGCCAACTCTCTTCGCTGTTCTTCCTCATCACTGTTCTTGGTAAGTTTTGCTTTTTGCAACCATACCAAGATTTTGTGAAGACCTTTATGAATGTCCAATGCTTTCCACCCGATGCTGGCCATTGCAGAGTCGGAGTTGCGCCTTCTGAGTGCGCCTTGCGTGAAAGGTGATGCGGGGATCCGGGCGCTGGAGCTTCTCACAGTCCATTTGGACACGCCCCTGTGGCTGGCGCTTGGCCTAGCATCTTGCAACCAAGCCACTAGCTTTGGGAGGCGAGCGTGAAGTGCGTCAACGCTAGCATGTTGAAGGACAGCGCAGTTTAGAGGCCAGGGGAAAGCGAACAAAGCGAACCAAGCACATGTTGGCTTAGTGGAAGTGCAATGGTTTCCTGAACAGCGCCTCCAAACAAAACTTGATTCAGTCTGATTTGATGCTGTCATCCTGAGCTGCGACACAAAGAGTGAGCTTTTGTGAGCTGGCTCGAAGGTCTGCTCCCACCACTCCTGCAGGTCCGCTCCTATATTCTCAAAGCCATGTCTCGCTTTGTGGCCCTCCTGCTCAGTGCCGCCGTCGTGCGGAGTGTGGCCTTTGTCGCCCCGAATGCGCCCAACACCGCCGTGCACCTGAGCGGCGCATCGCAGATGCGGGCGGAGATGCCCCGCGCAGAGGCAGAGGCTGAGGCCACGTCTCCTGTGGGTGCTGTGATGCTGGCTTCTCTGGTTGGATTGATGGTCGGTCTGGCGAGCCCCCAGATGGCCATGGCTGAGGATGCCCCTGCGGCCCCAGCGCCAGTGGACAAGAAGGCCAAGATGAAGGACGAGATGGCCAAGGCCCAGGCAGCACTGCAGGCGAACGCCAAGAGCAAGCAAGACCGCCTGAAGGAGCAGATTCAGCAGTTGAAGGATCTTGAGAAGACGGCTGATTTGACCTATGCCACAAAGTGAGGCATTTTTTGAGGGCCCGCAGTTGGCCTGAAGTTTCTTGCCTCTGCATTGAAGGTACAGTGTTTGCAACGCATGCCAGCGCCAGGAGTCTAGCATCAGCAGACTCTGCGAGCCCTATGAAGTGTGCGAGAAAACGTGCTTGATAGGATGCATTCTGAAGGTAATTGAAGGGAAAGCGAAGACAGTTCAACGTCAGGCATCGGGGCATTGTAGTTGCACGACATCGATCCTTGAATGCAGATAGGGTGTTTCTCCTTGGCCAGACCGTAGCGAATCAAGCATGCCACTTCTGCTTTGCAGCCACAAAAGCTTTACGACAGGCATTTAGGGTCCGCTCCTATATCTCAAAGCCATGTCTCGCTTTGTGGCCCTCCTGCTCAGCGCCGCCGTCGTGCGGAGTGTGGCCTTTGTCGCCCCGAATGCGCCCAACACCGCCGTGCACCTGAGCGGCGCATCGCAGATGCGGGCGGAGATGCCCCGCGCAGAGGCAGAGGCTGAGGCCACGTCTCCTGTGGGTGCTGTGATGCTGGCTTCTCTGGTTGGATTGATGGTCGGTCTGGCGAGCCCCCAGATGGCCATGGCTGAGGATGCCCCTGCGGCCCCAGCGCCAGTGGACAAGAAGGCCAAGATGAAGGACGAGATGGCCAAGGCCCAGGCAGCACTGCAGGCGAACGCCAAGAGCAAGCAAGACCGCCTGAAGGAGCAGATTCAGCAGTTGAAGGATCTTGAGAAGACGGCTGATCTGACCTATGCCACAAAGTGAGGCATTTTTTGAGGGCCCGCAGTTGGCCTGAAGTTTCTTGCCTCTGCATTGAAGGTGCAGTGTTTGCAACGCATGCCAGCGCCAGGAGTCTAGCATCAGCAGACTCTGCGAGCCCTATGAAGTGTGCGAGAAAACGTGCTTGATAGGATGCATTCTGAAGGTAATTGAAGGGAAAGCGAAGACAGTTCAACGTCAGGCATCGGGGCATTGTAGTTGCACGACATCGATCCTTGAATGCAGATAGGGTGTTTCTCCTTGGCCAGACCGTAGCGAATCAAGCATGCCACTTCTGCTTTGCAGCCACAAAAGCTTTACGACAGGCATTTAGGGTCCGCTCCTATATCTCAAAGCCATGTCTCGCTTTGTGGCCCTCCTGCTCAGCGCCGCCGTCGTGCGGAGTGTGGCCTTTGTCGCCCCGAATGCGCCCAACACCGCCGTGCACCTGAGCGGCGCATCGCAGATGCGGGCGGAGATGCCCCGCGCAGAGGCAGAGGCTGAGGCCACGTCTCCTGTGGGTGCTGTGATGCTGGCTTCTTTGGTTGGATTGATGGTCGGTCTGGCGAGCCCCCAGATGGCCATGGCTGAGGATGCCCCTGCGGCCCCAGCGCCAGTGGACAAGAAGGCCAAGATGAAGGACGAGATGGCCAAGGCCCAGGCAGCACTGCAGGCGAACGCCAAGAGCAAGCAAGACCGCCTGAAGGAGCAGATTCAGCAGTTGAAGGATCTTGAGAAGACGGCTGATCTGACCTATGCCACAAAGTGAGGCATTTTTTGAGGGCCCGCAGTTGGCCTGAAGTTTCTTGCCTCTGCATTGAAGGTACAGTGTTTGCAACGCATGCCAGCGCCAGGAGTCTAGCATCAGCAGACTCTGCGAGCCCTATGAAGTGTGTGAGAAAACGTGCTTGATAGGATGCGTTCTGAAGGTAAGTTGCAGGGAAGGCGAGCATAGTACAATTTCAGGCGTGCAGCAAGAAGGCTTGTCATGTCATTTAAACCATTACGTTTACGACTTTCGAGGCAAGGAATCACCAAAATCACCATTTTGCTGTCTTGAGAAGACCTGGCCCGTTTGCATGCGCTAATTTCCCAAGGCGTTGCCGGAGGGCGGACGGGCCCGGAGCTTGGAATGCAGCGAGGGGTAAGCCGGCTGGCAGAGGGAAGCAGACTCAGCAGACTCTCAACCCCTAAACCCTAAACCCTAAACTCTAAACCCAGACCTGCACCTTGTGGCAGGTTGCTACTATGAACAGCACACTGACTGCATGGCTAGTTTAAACTCCAGGAACCGATGCTGTGGTGGTTTTTTTTTTGGAGAAAACCAAACACCAAAGTCGTCAGGGAAATAGTCAGGAGTCCTTGGACCAACACAGAAAAACACCTTGAAACAAAAAAGAAGAACAAACAAAAACCAAAGTCCTGAGGGAAATGTTCAGGAGTCCTCAGCTAATACATAGTCTCCAGGAGATTGTTTTTTTCTTCGAGGTTGTTTTGGGTTTTGCACAGAAACCAAAAAACCTCTCCAAACCCAAGAAGCAACTCGAGAGTTTTTGGTTTTCTGGGCAAAAACAAAAAACCTCGAAGAAAACCAAAAAAAAACAAAAAACCAAAGTCCTAAGGGAAATGTTCAGGAGTCCTCAGCCAGTACATAGTCTCCAGGAGATTGCTTTTTGTTTTTTTGGGTTTTCTTCCAGTTGTTTTTTTGTTTTGCCCTATGAAGTCTCTCTCTCTCTCTCTCTCTATGGCAACGGCCTTTTTCAGACACCAGATGTTTAGCAAGAGTGTCTTCCCGAGTTATATTCACACACACCAGAGACAGTGTGGCTACCCCTTAGTTTTCAGTAGGCCGTGGCATGGGAAGAGGTTTTGCGGGTCGTGGTGTTCGTGCTTCCATTAGACTTCTACCTTCAGTTAAAGACTATGTAAGGCATCCTGTCCATGAGTAGAACTTAGTCAGGGAATAGTTCTAATATATTTGTTGTATCATTTTTGCTGCATCAACTAGAACTTAGATTCAGTTCAACATCGAATTTGAATTGTAACAGAATTGAAGAACAAGATATGTGCAGTTCAATGTCTATTCTAGTTGAGGATTAAAGTAGGGAGTACTTTCCAATTCGGACTTTAACCAAAGATAATTTGCTATGTAAAAGGACTTTGAAAGTCTATGTTGAGTGCTAATGTAAGTAGGAGATCCCTTCCAAACAGGATTTTAATCAAAGTTAATTGCAGTTTGACAAGCACGTGGAAAGGTAATGGACACTAGTGGAGCAAATTTGAAAAGGTGGAAGATGGCAAATGAGCAGATGTGCAAAGCTATAGAAGAGCTATGTAAGGAGCTTCAAAATGAGTCTTACAAGCAGCTTTACAGGAGGCTGCTCAGGAGTTTTATACGGAGCCTTGTACAATGAACCTAAGAAGTGTTTATACGCCCTGCTCTCAAACTCGCAGTGAGGCAGCATCAGCCTAGATATGGGCTGCAACTGGGAACCCACTGTTCACAGTGTGCGGTCACTATTTGGCCAAATCTGCAGCCTTTTGGCGCAATGTCTGCGAAGATGAAAGCGCGGCAGCAGGGATCATAAAATTCCAACAGACTTCAAGACAACTAAAATAAGCAAAGCCTCAGACAAAGGGTCATAAACTCAACTCCTACATTTGCCAAGGCAAATGTCGGACTTGGGGCCAGGACCTTTTGTCTGAGCGTTTTTTTGTTTAAACGTTTTCTCGAGTGTTTTGTTTTTGTCACTCTATGCGTGCCCAAAAAAAGTTGCTGATTTCCCGTACGAAAAATACGTGTTTTACGCGTAAATTACCACCACTCAGGGCATTGGCCTCTCTTAAGCAATGATCTTCGTGGTTTTGCACTTCCTTGATTGGATACTCTTTCCTCCGCATGCGCCTGTGACCTTGTGCTCAAATCCAATACGAGCATTTACCCACTCGCAGCATAGCCAGTTGTGCTTGTTCGTCCGTTTTTTGCTTGTTCATTTATTTGTGCGTGCGTGCGTGCTTGCGTGCGCGTGTTGAGGGCAAACTGGCACACCGTTCGCGTCGCAGTTTGTAGTCGGACCACCAAATGCTGAAGTATGGTTGGGTGGTAATGTAGGTATGCCATTGCTTTCGCTGTGGATTCCTCAGCATCAGCGTTGCAAAGGCCCTGTTGGAGGCGTCAGAGGCGCGGATGGGCTTCTGAAAAGGTTTCTAGTTGGCTTGAAGGAATCGGTTCCGCGTGCCAGGGCGTCATCTTCATCACTTGGCTATGGGGCGAGTTTTTTTAGCAGCAAGTGAGAAGTGCTGACATTGACACCACCCCCCTGATGAGACACTGCAAATTCGCTGCTGGAAGCGTGCTGTTCCAATGTCGAGAAGTAAGATGGCTGTGAGCAGGGTACTTTTGCAGATTTCAGGTTTGGCAAATGGTCTGACAAGGTCACTAGGGTGTGTCTGTTTTTAGGGGGATGCCCCCCAAAGAAGAAAGGTTGGTTCCCTTTTTGGTTTCCCTTGTGGCCTCAAAACAAGACACACGCAATTCTGTATCCGGCTGCATACCGCGGTGTTTTAGCGGAGTGCAGGCAATTCAGCAGGACGAGGGGCTGGCGCAGAAGGCGGTGGAGGAGCTGACGTGAAGGGATCGAGGTTCTTTTCGTCTCACTGCAATCATTTGATACACCCTTCCCATTGCCGAAGCCGCTTGGTAACGAAAGGTTGAGGGGTGTTCCTTGTGAGCTGTGTAGCAAGAAAGGCACGCCAGAATTGTGGTTTTCAAGTTGAGGCACTCTCACGTGTCACATGAGGTTGTTTTTTGACGAAGGTCTCTTTGACTGGCCTAAGGGCACAGAAGCCATGCACGTGAGGAAGGGGAAGGGACGCAGGGGATGCAGGTTTCTACTTGGCATTCGATGGCTCTTTGCCCAGAAGCATCCACGAGCGTCCCGAAAAGCATACTGGATAAGATTCTACGGTCCTTGGAACCAGAACGAGCCTCAAAGGTGAACCGGCAAACCTCCCTTTATAGAAGCGGCTTGGAAGTTCCATCCTCGACACAGAGCAGACTTACTAGCTTTCGCCACACACGCCTACATGAGCAAATATTCATTCGTACAATATACAAAAGCCTTGTTTTTGTTGCGACTTTCCAGTCAGAACTGTAGAAGTGCATTTTGCGTCATGCACTTGTACTGAGAAACGATGTGACTTTCTGACTTTAGGAGTTAAAAGTGCACGGCGATGAATCCGTGAAAGATTTGCGAACGTATTTCTTACTTTCGCGAAGAATGGCCGTTTCGAGACAAAGGATTCTTGAACAAACACATGTACATACACACATACATAAATATATGTATATATATATATATATGTATATATATATACACATATTTACACCACACATACATACATGCATGCATGCACGCATGCATGCATACATACATACATACACACATACACACATACACACATACACATATACACACATACACACATACACACATACACACACATACACACATACACATACACACATGCACACATGCACACATACACACATACACACATACACACATACACACATACACACATACACACATACACACATACACATACACACATGCACACATACACACATACACACATACACACATACACACATACACACATACACACACACATACACACATACACACATACACACACACACATACAAACATACACACACACACATACACACATACACACATACGCACATACGCACATACACACATACACGCAAACACACATACACACATACACGCATACACACATACACACACACATACACACATACATACATACCTACTACCTACATACATACATACATACATACATACATACATACACACATACACACATACATACATACACACATACACGCACATACGCATACACACATACATACACACATACATACATACCTACTACCTACATACATACATACATACATACATACATACATACATACACAC